TGCCAGTGTAGACCTGACCAGTCCAGTCCACATCTTTGAAGACCAGACGGCACAGCTGAAGACCTGCTGTGGTGTAAAGACTGAGGACCTACTGAGGGTTTCCACTGTAGCTCTTATTCCAGACTTTTTGAAGGACTGGTTCTCTCAACGGGAAACAGAAAGAGATAATGACAAAATACACAGTCCGGCCGTGGATCCACTGTCAAGATTTGCTCGTGGTAAACGATACTGGCAGCCCCCAGGAGACGGACCACCTGACAGTCAGCTGAATAAGTCACCATCATCTCTGGACTTGTCTCCTTTGTTTTCTATAAATTCTCAGACTGATTTTTTAAATGTGAAAAGTTCTGTGTTGGAAGACAGAGATGGACCACTGGACCTGTCCCTGCCCAGGGGTCTGGGGGTCCAACCTGCAGCTCTATCTCTGGACATCATGGAAGACAAACCACACAAACCTGCTCTTTACCTCCTGGAGCGCAGGTCCGGACAAGGTTCTGGACCCTCAGACCTGGCCAACCTTATGAAGGAGGTCACGGGTGTTGAAGACAGAGCCCCGTCTGATTTTGGATGGAACACTTTCCCTTCGTCTTCTTCTTCTTCTTCTCCGTATTTTCCGACTCCTGCTCAAGCAGCCTTTGCTCTGCCCACCTTCATGCTTCCGCCTCAGTCCTCCATTCCCGGCCTCAGACTGGTCCCCGGTCTGGATGACATCAGTTTCTTCCCCCACGTTGTCTACACCTATGCCACAGGCTCCGCCCCCCTCCATGACACACATCAGAAGAGCAAGAATCTAGAGAAGCCGATTTTTCAGGTTTGTACCATTATCTTCAATACTGTTACTAATCAGTGACGGGAGGGGCCAGGAATGAGAAGATCCCAGATGATTCTACAGTCACACGACTGTTCAGATCTAGAACCCAAGTCCAGGCTGCTCCATGTCGGTGGATCCCATTTATTTCAAGATGAAAAATGCAGTATTTGAAGTATTAATCTAAATTCTTTATGCCAGAATTTTAACATTGGTTAAAAAAAAGAACTATGTGTGTTTGTGTGTGTACTGTGTACTGTGTACTGTGTTTATTTCAGGATGAAAAATGCAGTATTTGCAGTATTAATCTGAAGAACTATGTGTGTTTGTGTGTATGTACTGTGTGTCAGAAGGAGTTTCCTGGTGGGACCTCAGCATCACTGTCCATGGACTTCCTGCCTGAGCTCCACCCTCTGACAAACGTGAAGCAACGAAAGAAAGGTGAAAATGGATCTTTTGCCTGTGACACTTGTGACAAAACCTTCCAGAAAATGAGTTCTCTCCTCCGACACAAATATGAACACACAGGTAGGTGTCCCCTCTCTGCTCTCCAACTGTTTGTGTTTCTTACCCCATTGCCTCTGACAGTTCTGACCCCCACCTGTCTCCCCAGGGAAAAGGCCCCACCAGTGTCAGGTGTGTACTAAAGCCTTTAAACACAAACATCACCTGATTGAACACTCTCGTCTGCACTCCGGAGAAAAGCCCTATCAGTGTGACAAATGTGGGAAGCGGTTCTCACACTCGGGGTCGTACTCACAGCACATGAACCATCGCTACTCCTACTGTAGGAGAGAGACGCAGACGTGCTATCAGGAGGAAAGAGAGTCTGTGAAGCTGCAGAAGAAATGAAGTCATGTTAGCTCAGCGCTAACCTGAACCCACTAACTTGAACTCATGTAATCTGCACCATTTGTTTACTGTTTGAGAAGTCAATGCTAACTGACACAAATGGCTTATTTTTTTAATTATATTATGTGCACTGTCCCTGGTACAGTCTTAGTGCTGCCGCCCTGCAGGTCTCACGTGAAGGTGGTTTGACAGTTGTGTCTGTCAGACATTATGAAAACAGTGTTTTTGCAGGTTTGATGTGTTCCACAGAGGAGGAGGAGGCCTCTGCTTGATGGAGCAAAAAAAAAGATTTTTTTATCTTCTTCACATGTTTATTTTCTTTTACAATTTTGCAGGATCTATTTTCCTTCATTAACCATTTTATCTAAGTTTGTATTTATGTGATTTGTGATTATGTGAAGTTTTTAAAAAATGTACTTGAAAATAATTATTGTGAGTTATTTTAATAAAGGTTGTTCTAGATGACAGCTGTCACCATCAGTCACTTGATCTGGTCATCTTAACCAAGCAAAACAAAATATGTTACATTTAGAGAAAATAATTGTGTCTCTCTGTGTGTGTTCAATGATACAGTGGTAAAGTGAAATAATGCCATTTTATTTATTTATTTATATTATTATTTTATATATTATTTTAATAAAAAAACCTCCCTGTTCTCCTTCTATGGAACATGACGTTAAAGACGACGTCATGACGTCATTTAGACGTGAGAGCGGACTATTAGTAAAGATGGAAGTGGAGGTGAGTAAAGTTAGCAGCATGTTTAATGGAGAGACAGTGAAACTACGGTATCACTCTGTCTCTGCCGATAGCACGGATGGTGGAACAACTGCTCTGAGACCAATGTTTTACCGGTCGTAGCCAGTTCGCTCTGCCCTTCCCTTTTTCTACAGAGACCACATGTAGTGGATTGTTTTGCTAACTGCTAACAGCCAGCAGAGCGTGTTAACGTTGTTGAACGAATGACCAAAACACTGACACCGCGTGACGTTACTAGTTTATGATGACGTATGTACGATAAGTATTAGGGAAGCTGTTTGTATCTTAAAATCAAGCCGAGTTGACGACATTAAGTCGCTAAAGGAAAGTGTCCTTCTTCTCACTTGTCTCCTCCACTCCCACCCTAATTCCTAACTAGCGGTCTCCTTTAAAAAAAAAGTTATTTTTATGTAGCAAGGTCGTCTGCTAAGTACGATTTATTGTATTTGAGTCCATGAAACAATCACAGACAACCAACAAAAGTTGAGCAAATTCACGGATAAAAGTGTCTCCTTTTGTAACGTGGTTTAATTGTAAATGTTATATATAATATCACCTTTTCTGTTTTGTTTTCAGAGCTGCCGTTCCCCCAGTGTCCTGTTGGTGGAGCCCTTTTACGGTGGCTCTCACAAACAGCTGATAGACTTGTTGAAGGACAACATCGATGACTGCTGTGTCTTCTCACTGCCTGCCAAGAAGTGGCACTGGAGAGCACGAACATCTGCACTCTACTTCAGCCAGAACATCCCTAAATGTTCCACATACAGGTGAGTCTTAGCCGATGTCAGCCCAACAGTCTGGTCTCTTGTTCTGCATAGTCTTGACCCGTGAAGTCCATCTTTTTGTTCTGGTTCTTTTTTGCAGAGTTCTTTTCAGCAGCTCAGTTTTGAACCTGTGTGAGCTGGTGGCCCTCAGACCCGATCTGGCCCACCTGAAAAAGGTCTTGTACTTCCATGAAAACCAGCTGTTTTACCCAGTCCGCAAAAATCAGGAGAGAGATTTTCAGTACGGGTACAACCAGGTGTTGTCCTGGTGGGTCCAAAGTCAGTCTGGTTTTGTTAAATTCCCGCCAATGCTGCCTGTTCTCAGAGATCCTGATAATCGGGGCTGAAGGAAAAGTCCCACTCCCTGTGACTCTTTGTACTGGTTCTGCTCCTGCAGTCTGGTCTCAGATGTGGTGGTGTTTAATTCACGCTTCAACATGGACTCCTTCCTGTCCTCGATCTCCACCCACATGAAGAAGATTCCAGACCACAGACCCAAAGGCTTGGAGCAACTGATTCGACCCAAGTGTGTGGTGCTGAACTTCCCTCTGCTGCTGCCTGATGTCAGCAGGTCAGTCAGATACTGGAGATACTCACTTATGATTGGTTGACTATTCTGTGATGTCATGACACTGATGGTTCTGAAAGAGACAAATAATATTTTTACCACAATAAAAAAATATATGTTGTACTAGGGCTCAGATGTTAGTGTTACAGATGACATTTAAAAACCTAACTAACGGCTGTGCACCAACTTCACCTGTATATCCTTTAATTGATTCAGTTTTATTGATTGTTGTAAATGTGTAATTTATTACACATTTACACAATTTATACTGAAAGATTTTTTTAGGAACCCATGAAACAAGTTTTTTTTCAACAGATGTTGGTTTTGTTTCTCAGCCTGTTACCAAAACACAAACAGCGGTGTAGGTGTGGACATACCAGTGCGCAGACCGGTGGACAGACCATTGGACATACCAGTGCGCATACCGATGAGCAGACCGGTGGACAGACCACTGGGCAGATGCCTCTCTCTTTAAAGTCACAGTAAGAAAGTCACCTTCTAAACAGAGTTAAATAGACCGATGAGCAGACCGGTGGACAGACTGGGCAGATGCCTCTCTCTTTAAAGTCACAGTAAGAAAGTCACCTTCTAAACAGAGTTAAATATGTTTGCTTTTTGTTCATGTTGAATTTTCTTTGCTTTTGGTCCCAACTCTAGCAGCAGTGACTCTCCACAACACTTCACATCTGGACCAGGGCCAGGGCTGGAACCAGGGGCAGATCCAGATCTAGGATCAGAGGAGCAGAGACCTCTTTACATTGTTTGGCCTCACAGATGGTAAAAAAACAAAATCACTTTATTCAACAAATAATTCACTTTCGCTATTCCATCTGTGGTAAAGTTACAAAGAAACAGAGATTATTTCCGATTACATCTGACTGAAGCTCTTTTCACCTCTAATCTCATGTTGGCCTGGATCCTGGATTAGAGAGAATGAAAACAGCTGTTCCAGGTGCTGCTGCTGCTGCACCCTGTGGGTGGGGATTCTGAGCTGAGTGGCAGAAGATGAGCCGCGGATGTGTAGTCTCAGGGCGGGGTCTTCCTGTAGATGATGGTTGAGACCTGGGGTTACAGAGATTACAGCAGTGACTGAGATTACAGAGAAACACCGTAATCCCCGAGCGTGATGATGAGACAGACACACGTCTACGCTTTAGACCAGGGGTGTCCACACTTTTTATGGCCCGGGATCCAGGCTAAAGTGATCTACCTACAATAAAAACATTAAATATATTTTCACTTATTTAAAGTGAACATACTTTATATAAATATTAATGCATGGGGCAGTGTTACAGTGGAAACTGATATTAGTTTTATACCTGTCAAATTTAAAGTGTGTGTATGTGTGTGTGCGCGTTCTTGCAGGGAACATGATAAAGACCCTGAGCTCTTCTTCTCAGTGCTGTTCAGACTAAAGGAAAGTGGACTGAGGTTCAACGTGTCGGTGCTTGGAGAGACATTCACTGATGTACCAGGTACTCACACACACACACACACGCACATGTGAAGTCAACAGAAGGCAAGTGATGAACATCTGACTTTGCCATCTCCTTCTGACTTTTCTTCCTGCAGAAATCTTCACAGAGGCCCAACGTGTTCTCTCAGACCAAATCCTAGTCTGGGGTTTTCAGCCCAGGAAAGAAGACTATCTCAAAGTGCTGTGTGACGCAGATGTCGTGGTTTCAACAGCCAAACACGAGTTCTTTGGGGTTGCAATGTACGTCTAAGAAGCTAATGGTGATGGTGATGATGATGATGATGATGGTGGTGGTGGTGGTCAGGGTCACATTGTGCTTTTTTTACCTCACTTCCTGTCACTGCCTGCTCACATAGAACACACCCAAACCAATTTCTTGGTTGGAGTTGAAGTGGTTTTGAAATGATGACATCATCATGATGTCACAGTAACATAACAGCGATGTCCTGTCTCTTCAGGTTGGAGGCGGTTTATTGTGGATGTTTCCCTCTGTGTCCCAACTCACTGGTTTATCCTGAAATATTCCCAGGTGAGAGAACCCCCCCCCCCGCCAACCTTGTTCATAACTGCACCTGTCAATTTCTTGAACCTAATGTAAGTTCTTCTTATTCCTGGTCCTGTTTTTGCTCCTGGTCGGTGCTGCAGCTCATTATCTGTACTCGACACCAGCCCAGCTCTACAAACGTCTCCAGGAGTTCTGCAGAAGACCTGATGTGGTCCGCAGACATGTTGTCCAGGTAAGACCACATCCCTCCAGGACCTTTTCCAATCATGCATCTGGAGGCTATTCACTTGACATTATGATGACATTGTTATCATTCTCCAGGTGGACCCCGCCTCCTTTTCCTGGACTCAACTGAAGGATCAGTTCCAGTCTCTGCTAATGGACTCTGAACACTGAACGCCCAACTGAGCGTGTGTAGTGGTCTGGAGGACGATTTTACAGGAGATAAATGATTGGCTCAGGATCCATCAGATCCAAATGACAATCGGAACATGAGACTGAACCTCATGTGTTTTAGTGAAGATGCACTATGGGTCTGGATCCATGTGACTTAAACTGTTTTACAACCATTTTCATGTTTGAATAAACAAATGAAGTCAATGTTGGTTAAATAAGTCCTAAAAACTTGGTGTAACATCCTCATCTGTCCACTAGGGGGTTAAACTGAGAAGAGACAGCAGTGTAGTCAGAGCCGATTCTGGTCAACAGCTCTTTAATTAAATGGTCCCTGATGTCAACATTAATTGTTGACCTACTGCAATCTACTAGCATGTGGACTGAAGGAGGACAACACAACACTGACTGAACACTGGGCAGCTGGTTGGAGTAAAAAAAAAAACAAAACGTTACTATACTTTAGTAGTGGATCGCTGTATCTGCATGTTATACACGTACGATAATTTGAACAAGGAGAGAGGGCCAATGACGATACTATTAACTCGGTATTTGTGCTTCTCTGTCACTAACCTAACAGTTTTATTTTTTAAAACACTTAGGTGCCTATTCCTTGAACGCAGCGGCGTACCGTCAAGACCAGTCAGACCTTCCCTGCTTGTTTAAACTTTATCACAAAGGGTAACTTATTTTTCAATATATTTATGAAGAATATTCATCTTTTTGTAGCTTTTCTCTTCATCGAGCATTTTCCAGTCGTGTATAAATATATACTCACGTTTTTATCCAATCACATTTCAGCCTGGGTGTCGTCAGGGTGAAATAAATCTGCCCTACGGCCTTCAGTAACGTTGCCGCTGGGAGCCTAAAATGATTGGCAACGAGATAGTTCCTTAAACCAATCACATTTGAGTTGGCATAACGAAGGCGATCTAGCTAGCCAGCAGGTACGTTGGCGATTTGAGTAACTGAATCTAAAAAAAAAAATAAAAAAAAACTGCGCCAGCGACTTAAACTTGCGAAAATAAAGTTTTCCCTTCGCCCACGGCTCCACTTCCCAGCGGCAATTCTCAGTCTGAAGCGATTTAAAACTTGTTCCATTAATACAGGACTTTGAACGTTAGCATGGATGGCGGTAGAAAAGAACCTGACGTATAGTCAGTGAACTCCTTCAAGGAAAGAGAGGCGGAGGGATACCGTGTACAAATAATCCGAAGTTTTGGTGAGTAAAATTGAGTCTTTAAAAAAAAATTGTATTGTGTTATTACTGATGTACAATATTGTGCTTAGTGAATCTGTTGCATTAGTGATTACGTCATTATGGCTGCGTAGACAGATAAATAGATATAACTGTATTATTCACTTTTAAATTAAGGGCGTTATCATGATACATGACGTACAGAAACAGATTTCTGCCACACTAAGAAAAAAATGATCAGTATCACGTAATTACGTGACTACGAGTAATAACTGTCACGTTATTTTGTGAAAAGTTTAACGTAAATACGTGATAACTTTCACGTCATTTCGTGTTATGTTGTGCGTGATTTCGTCATAACTTTCACGTAATTACGTGATAAGAATATGGCTCGTTTACACGATTCAGTTGAATTGTACTTAATGGAAGGATACAATACGCTATACGCTTCCGTAATGATGGATGAGTCTATTGATTGGTTGGTTTGGCTGGGACGTTACTGTAAATGTAGCAGAGTTAGTCAAAAGTTAGAAACAGACAATGATAAGGGACCAAACCAAACAGAATAAACTAACACGAGGATTAAATTATACATGATAAAGTTGTCAACAATGGGTAACACGTGATCATTGTGTTAACAGTTAAAATGTTCAGACATAAAAACACAATCAGAGAGGTGTTACAGCTGTTACAGGGACCACTGGTGTGACAGTACGGGTCCGTCTGTGATCCTAATGTTTCTAGGTGGAGGAGGTGATGGATCATGATGGTTTATCGATGGTTTCTATAGACGACATCAGGTTGGTGTGGATTTGGTAATGCAGGACGCCACTAGAGGCCGAGGTGAGAACTACACGTTACATCACTGAGTTTTAAACTTCACACTTGAACGTAATTACCCCAGTTTGGGTGTAGAGATGGGTGGGGGTCAAGCAGAAACATTAGCTTGCTTAGTTAAAAACAGCTCTCCACATGGAGGCGCTACTTCTCCTTTACTTTCATAATCTGGATTGGTGGGGGGGAAGGGGGGGGGGGTTTGCTCCCCATTTGGACAACCCCACCCGGGCGCTGGTGCTTGAGGTTTTTATTGAGTCATGAAAGTGTGTATGTGTTTTTTTTGTGTGTGTGGGGGGGTGTTGATTGACACAAGCAGCCCCTGCCTCCTGTTGGTCAGCAGTTTTATAACAGCTGTTGTACCTAAAACTTTTTCTTTTCTCTCTCTTTCTTGCTCTATCCGACTCACCCTGTGCCTCCCTCAATCTGTCAACCCCCCCATATTTTTCTCTCTTTTTCTCTCTGTCTTTCTCTCTCTTTTTCTCTCTCTTTTGCTCTCTCTCTCTCTCTCTCTCTCTCTGTGATCAGGTGATATCAAACAGTCAAAGATCAATGCTGATCAAACCCTGCTCTGCTCTGACACTTTGGAGACACGGACAAATGGCTGCCGTGTCCCATCATGCCCCCTGTGGACGTAGACTGGCCAATGGGGAGGTTGCTGTGGGTGATGGTGTGAGTGCCCCCACCCTCAGTATAAAAAGGCAGAGCGCCGTCAGGGCCCTCCTGAGCAGTTGGAGCATTCCCAGCCTCGCCTCAGGTGGAGGGATTGCGAGGAGGGAATCATAACTACTCGGCGTCGGGGGGGGGAATATTCTCACCTGGATTTATTTTGACGGAGACGCAGCCTGATCTAAGTCAGCAGGGCTCCGTCCCATCACATCCGGCACTCTTGTGAAGACAAGTGAGTACATTTGCCCTCAGGGTTCTGGTTTGGGTCTTGGTCTGAATTCACATTTCTCCCCTTCATATCCACCCCACCCCCCGTTGCACCTTCCCTTTACTGCCCACACCCATAGGTGTGAGTGTGTGCTGGGTCTTGGTCTCCCTATTTTGTTGTTTTTTGGGTTCAGTATGGGCCCTTTGGTCTGGGCTGCTGAGATTGTTGGCCCGCGGTGAAGGCCTGAGACCTGAGAAGTCCCAGAATAGCTCTGGTCATACCGGTGGGGTGGGGTGGGGGGGGCTGCCCAGCCGGCTGCATGGCTTTTTAAGGGAATGGACTGCGGGGGTAAAGAGATCTATTTGGACCACATGGTGGCTGTCAATCACCCAGCAGAGGGGGTCACAGGGGCTATTCTTAGCTGCTGCCTTATCCTGCTTAAATTCCGGTTTAAAAAAAAAATCACCTGGTTCCTGTGGAACATCAATGACATCAATGGCTGATCAATAATCTGTGATAAGATGAGGAATACCATGTCTTTGCAATGATTATAGGTTAAAGATTACAGATGATACATTGTACATTATAGATTATAGATGAGAGATTATATGATAGAAATGCCAGCAGATTATATTGACACATGACATAATATAGATTATAGATGACATAGGAACTGATTTTATATTCTTATTATATTCTACTGATTATATATTGTTTACAGTTTGTGTGTATCTGTCTGTGTGTGTGTGTGTGTGTACTTGTGTTGCTGCTGCAACAAGTGAATTTACCACAGGGTTCAATGAAGTTCTCTCCTTTGACTGTTTATTGTTTATGACAGCGATGATGATGATGATGATGGTGATGTTGAGTTCACTGTATCTGTTTAAATAACGATAGATTATGTTAATAGAGGATACATATATTCACAAAGGGTTAATTTTGTATTATCTATTATTAAGTAATTAATCAATGAATTAATTGTTGTACCTCTTTTAAAAAGAGACCTTTTTAAAGATTACAAAGAGACAGCCGATTATTAAAGAGTACATGTTATCGATCACAGATAACTAATTGGATATTTAATTCAAATTATAAATAATAAATACTAATTAAAATATTAATGTATTTTACAGATACATTATTA